TGTGACGTTTTCAAGTGTAAATTTATTTTACCTATGGAATAAATAATCTTTGACTTTGACTTTGACTTTGGCAACTCATCAGGCAAATGGGCCTTAAATCTCTTATAACAATGGGGGACTGTTCCATTTGGTGGCGTGGGAAAAGCAGCCAAACATCTAATTACTAAACAAACATTTCATCGGTAATTAAATGTTAAATATGTAATTTTTCAATTTTCGTCCATTATAGCAAAACTCAAGTTAAACTGGTTGATTGAAGTGAAACAATTGACGACACCCGTCAGTTGTTTCGAATTCGGGTCGTCGTAAGACAAATGAAATGACATTTAGTCTCTATTTCTGATATAACTCGATGCTACCTAAATATATACGTGGGTTTTTACTATCCCTTAAAAATATATATGGCTAACGCTACATTACGTCTTGTCATTCTTGGACTAGTGTCCACTACCTAATTTCCGTAGCAGGTTTATGTTTTTTAAACATTCAAGTATATTATTATTATCGTGTAATTATTAAATAATATTTCACGATACAATACTCAAATATTAAAAATAATATTGCACGATAGAAAAATCGAATACTTAAATAATAAAAATAGCCACGGAAATTAGGTAATGAACACTAGTCCGACAATGACCGACGTATTGTTTTTAAATTTATTTAGTCAAAGTTCAATGCTTTTTCTTATTGAGCGATGTACAGAAACACTCGATACCTTCTTTACAATATGTTTATTCGTTTCTTAGACGGACGTAGAGAACTCGGCAGGTGAACTGCCTGTGGAAGTTTGCACTGAACAGTGCCAAAGCGCGATCTCGCTCAACATGCAGATGGCGCTGCGGGCTAACGGCGGCCGAGGAAGGCAGCGATTGCTTTGCAGGTATTGATTCACGGTTTAAAATTTTTAATATTGTTTAAAAACATTATTTTGTAGCTAATCTCTCCTTTATATTTTGCCAATTTGCTATCCGTTTGTGTCGGAACTGTACGTTTGCTGGTCCAGAACATTTCCAATGACATCAGAGGTTCGCAGGCATTTCACCTTCACTTTTCCATTATCGGAAGACGTTGGCTGGGGTTTTACCCCTATGTTGTGGATATTCCAAAGGTGCGCTTGCAGTGTTACACTT